TGGTTTTTGTATTAGACCCGTCGTCCATTTATTTGTAAGTCAATGTTAACATCCAATCTTTATTACCCTGTTACATGTTAATCCCGTAGATTTTCAATATTTTTATAAAATAAAAAGTGGTTTATTTTTATTCTTTCTTATTTTTTATTATATTTATTTAGTAATTTACTTCATGCCACATGACCCATATAATATATACCTTAAGGATTAAAATACATACAATATAATAAACTAAATAACTACTCTACGTGAATTACACTTGTCGGCGACGTGTGGCGCAATCTGGTGTCAGGTAACCGGCTGTGGAAACAATGATACAAGACACCGTTCGGCCAAAACTCCCCCTTCATGAAGGTCGAGCGATGTTCGGTCACCACTCTCACCGCAAAAGGTTTATAACTAAATAATAGAAAACGAATGTGGTTTTTGTACGTAAACATCCATTAACCGGGTCACATTATAGGCCATGGATCTTTGATTTCAATTGTCAGTGAAATGGATCGGACCTCCAAATATGAAAAAAAATGCAAAATAAGAAAAAACTAAAAATAAAAAAGACAATCTTAGTGTTCTTATTAGACTTCCAACATAGTTATCGCATGTAATTTATTTATTATTTATATTTGGGAAGTGAACAATTGAAATGACATTGACACATGCATTATACAAATTGTCCGTAGCAGAGAGTCTTCATAAATTTCCTAGAGTATTCTAAAAGTATTAACATTATTTGACAGGAGTACAAGAAAAGATTAAGAATTAAATTACAAAGCAAGATTAAAAGGATCAAAGTGTGTGTGTGTGTGTGTGTGTGTGTGTGTGTGTGTGTGTGTTTGTGTGTGTGTATGTGTGTGCGTGTGTGCGTGTGTGCGAGCGCGCGCGTGCGCGTGTGTGCGTGTGTGCGTGCGCGCGTATTAGCTACTTACGTTACAGTGCATATTGTATTAGTTTTGACTTTTGGATTAACAAGATTGTCTATATTTTTTTACAATGGGATTGTGTTATGTCATGTTAACCTGCCTAATGAGCGCTGTAGAGGAAAATTTAAGGGAAATGAAAAAGCTGTATGTATTTTTTCAAATAAAATATGTTTCTGTCAATAATTGGATAGCTACAAACAAAGGATTGTTATTGCGTTTGTACATTCAAATCAGATTGGAATCGAAAGTCATTATTTTTATGCGTTATCTTGTCTGACCTCCCAAAGTTGCAAAAAATTTATTTATTTTATTATGTATTTACTTAAACTTTATTGCACACAAAGCAGTACAAATGGCGAACTTAAAGCCATTAGGCATTATCTACCTGCTATACCAATTAACAGGAGAGTTAATTATTCTGAATTCAGCATAATTAACTGGCGGTACACGCTAAAACAGGTACAAGTTAAGATTAAAAATAGATATATATATAAAACAATATATAACATATAATACGTAAATATTTCCAATGTCAGATTAATCGGATGCAGATGGATACTCCAACATGAAATTGCGGACAATTTTTTTTGTGAAAGCTAGCGGTCCAAAGTCGTATTGTCTGAAGATTAAATAAGTTAATGTGATATTATTAAATTTATATCAAAATGTATTAATATCATAATCATATTGAGGTTCAAAAAGGTACTTACGAGCAATTTACCTTTCAAAGCAAAGAAATCTAAGAACTGTATGTTTTTGCAGTGCCGGAGACGCACTTCCGTCTGATCCAGAACAAAACCGATGACGACACTGTGAACGTCATTTGCGCAGCGGACGGGGCTTTCCCTGCCCCCAATCTCACGCTTGCTACACCTGAGAGGTAAGTTCAAGTAAGATATAAAATATTACAAGACCATTTCACGATTCCGAGCTACTGAATATTTTAGTTTCTTTTTTTTCGTTTTTTTCATGGAAGTTTAGTAAATAACTGCCTCCATGGCCGAACGGTTACCATGCCAGACTGCCACGCAGATGTACTTGGTTCGATTCCCGGGCCGGGGAGAAATATTTGAATGGCCAACATTTATTTCTCTCGTGAGTTTGGGTGTAATTTGTGGTTATCTATGTGTGTGTCCATGGCGCCCGCGACACAGGGTTGCGGTGCTATGTTGAGTGTGTGCGTTATGTTATGTATTATGTACAGTAGCACTAGAGCTCCTTGTGAAAGAGTTCGTCCAGGGAAGTACTGCCACTGTACCTATTTCTGCGTTACCACACCTGCATGTAGATTAATGGCGAATCTGAATTTCATTTACTAGGCAACAACATTTCAATTGCTCTGAATAATACAACCGCGCGGCCGCCTTGCGGGCCGACGCAAACTCCGCGCAAGCCACAGCGTAGACCAAATTTAAGCCAGACTTGCCTGCGCGTCCGGGACGCTCATTTAAGTTAAAACGTAAAAGCTAAACAAATAGAGCGTATTTTTGCCATGACAGTTAGACGCACGCTGTGCGGCAGAAACGTGGACTCCGCTCTTCGACTGCGCGGCGGCCGCGCTGGGTGAGCTGATGAAATTCGTGTCGAATAAATGCGCTCTCCAACAAGTCGTGCGCCTGTTGGTAAAAGACACGCTTATTCATATCAGTTGCAGTGCCACTCAGAGCTTTAAATCGCAAAGATTTTAGGCTACGCCAGTCGCCCTGAGACATAGGTAAGTTGACAAGTCCCATGTGGTTGTAATTTCACCATCACCCTTACTCTTTTAAGCCGGAACGCAGTAATCCGCACATTACTGCTTGGCGGCAGAAGTAGATAAGGTGGCTGGTACTTCCCTGGATGAACTCTTTCACAAGGAGCTTCACTGCTACTACTAATACCATACTGTCTTATTATATTATGTTCATAACTTGTTTAATTCTAATTTATTGGATAACATTAATTAGTTTCTAGCTAAAGTAGTTAAAACTTTATCTTAACTGTCTAAATACAGAGTTTATATTCGATTGAGGTACGCGTTGATAATTTATATTTGAATTATGCAATGGGAGAGATAAATATATTGTCAATTAATACATTACATTGAAATAGGTCAGCTTCAAATTTCGAATAGCGCTAAAGATTGGGCTTTTGTAGATACTTCGTGCGTCTTCGCGTATTTTCAATGTGAAATCGACGATTGGAAGATCATAAGCGCCATTTTTGAACGTAAAAAATAATTATCCGCTTTGAATTTATCACTTAAGCGTTATTTTGACAAAAATAGAATATCATCATGGTAGTAAACATATTATATTCAATAAAATGAAATATTGCAATTATAGTATAGCGAGATCTTTGTCAGATTTCTGGTAGCTGCGAAGGTACCTGGCTGAGTGAAAAAACTTTCATAAATCCTCTCTGGTGGCGCTACGACAAAAAAGACGTTCAAAAACCAAACACAAAGATCACCACGCATATGTACAAATTCTGCTTGCTCGATCTCGTTACCTCCAACTAACACTACGTCAACTTTATTTTTTGGTAATTTTCTGTTATTTTTGTAAACAGCCATTTTTATTTCGTAATATTATGCTCCACGAATTTTGTGGAAATAAAAATGAAGAAAAAATACTTAAAACTAATTCTGTGGAAAACAAAATGTAGAAACAAAAACCAAACTAAAAACAGGACAGGTCCAAAAGTTAAGTTAGCGCAGTGTTCATGGGAAGTATCGATCCGTAGCTCAATTAGCAGAGTGGTAGCCACGATGACCGACAGACGCTGGTTCGAGTCCAGTCCTATCGAAGAAAGTTGTCTTTGTGTTTGTTCAATATTTGTATCAGTAATGATAATAAGCTACTGGCGTATTCTCACGTAAATAGAAAAACATCATGATATTCAATAAAATAAAATAAAGTGTCGTAATATTGAGCTCGTTTACCACAAAATAATTCAAATAGCATAATCAAAAAACGTGCTCCTTCTTTGGGAAAGATAACAATAATTTAGAACTGGAAATTGTTAGCTTTTTCAACGAAGAACATTTTAATATTTAATTTAAATATTAGAAGAAACAGACTAAGCGTAACGTTTATTTATCTTATTTACCTCCGTTGCCGAAGAGTTCATGCTGGATTGTCATGCAGAGGTCACGGGTTCGAGTCCCGGGCAGGGAGAAATAGTTGTATGGCCTACATTTGTTTCTCTCGTGACTTTGGGTGTATATGTGTGTCCACGGCACCCGCGACACAGGGTTTCCCTAGTGCGGGGCTATGTTGAGTGTGTGCACTATTATTATTATATTATGGTTATATCTTCTGAAAATAAAATTGCTGTCTTTTTAAACCTGGTGTGTGTTTGTGTACTTCACAAAAGTTAAATTACAACTACAATTAGATTACGGTTGAAGAAGTGTGATCTAAATAAAGGATTAAAAATTAATCGAGATAATGGAATGATGACCTCGGTGGCCTAGTGGTTTGCGTTGTGGGCTCTGGGTATTGAAGTCCCAGGTTCGATTCCCAGAAGGACCAACACGAAAAATAAAATTTCCTAAATTGGTTCTGGCCTGTGCTTTCTAGGAGTGCCCCAGTGACAATTCCGTTGCTCTAGTACTCATAGCACAGGAAAGTTTGAGATCAGGTAATTGGTACATTATTATTAATATTAGGGATGTCTATTTTAGACTCTCGACTCTTCCATGGTGTAAAATATATTATTATAACGATTTTTTATATTTAGGCAGTGATAGAGGGGATTCAAACGACACAAAGTAAATGGAGCAATAAAGAACTTTTAACCTGCAGTTAACTACGTAAAAAATATATATGACAGTTTTTTTTATATCGAGTTCTTAGGTTTTCGCGATGGTTACACATAGGAAATGAAACTATTTTTCTGGATTTAAATCGCGTATATTTGTTTTTTCAAACAAACGGACGTTTCGGGTCCTTTACAGGTCCCATGGTCACGGTTGACTGAGGTGGTACAGTCTTTAAACAGTTATGTCTAATATTGATGCAAATCACCCTATTTTTTTACTATAGTTACACTATACTATAGTTATTAATTAATTACCTTATTTTTAATTTTACAAAGAAAACGTTCCAATTTACGCTACATTAAGTTTTACAAATTATTTTATTGAATGAATTTTTATTAAGTTCAATTTATTATTGATTAATAATAAAAATTAGAATAAACTAAAACATATTAATTAGTACTGCAGTCTTATGTCTGTTTGGGATTTTTCATTAGAGGAAATACTGGATCCCAAACTGGTGGTACTGTGAAACCATCTACCTTGTTGAAATTAGGGTGTTTTTTAATTTCAATGGCCTCTCGCAGCATCCTGGGTAGATAACGGACTTCTTTTGCAAGGACCTGAGGTTAGTCAAACTTCTTTGAATGTATACGTTTATCCATGACATGATCGCAGAATGCAGACTTATTTACGCGACGGTGTTTGATATCAGCTATATGTTCTTTGACACGGGTACAAATACTTCGCTTTGTCTGTCATAAACAAAAAGTAAACAAATAAGTCACTGACCCGACCATATTATAATTTAGTGATGGCCAATTTGACTGCCAACTACAAATCAATTAATTAATTGAATGAATCAATTTGTTTAATTGAGGTTTACTGACGGTTTTATTACATTACCTAAAAAGCATATTCAAAATTTCCGAAATCTTAATTTTAATTTGTCCTTCAAATTCTTACACTTAGATACTCGTTCGTTGCGATTGAAATTTTCGATTTACTAATCCATTTTAATTGAATTAACTGAATGTCTTTTTCCATACAACACTATGCAACCATAGACTATTTATACATCTTTAATAAAAAAAATAACTTCACTTTTTGACTACCATTTTTCAAAAACGATTTTACGATGTTATTTAAATGAACATTATTGCAAAAAGTGATGAGGTTTCATGTCATGTCATCATATCATGAAGTGATAGTAGAATAATGTAAGTGACGTATTGAGTCAAATTCGTGCAAGGAAAAAGTGATAAAAAGTGCTCAAATGTAAATGAAATCGACGATAGGCAACGCAGAAATATCTGCCGAAACCGAATATGTATAAAACTCATTTTCGACTTAGGTGTCGTTTAGGCTCTTTTTCTTCGTCGATACGAACCTGCACATTACATCTTCATTTACTTTTTTTTTTTTTTTTTTAATTTATTAAAACATAATTTACATCGGGCATCGTTCTTTAACAACACAAAGAAACATAAAAAATACGAATTTACTTGTATATTTTTCAAAGGTTTTATAGAAAGCGAAATTCGAAACATGTATCGAAGCATCTCTATGTGTATACCTTTTAAAAAGTGAGTGAACGTTTTTTATCGTATCGAGTTCTTCGGTTTTGTTTTTTATGATTTGCATTAATATTCTTCTTCTTCTTAAGGTGCCTCTCCAACTAGTGAAGATTGGCAGTCAGCTCAGCATATTTATCTTTATTTCTTGCGAGGCTGAACAGTTGGGCGGCACTCGCTATCCCAATCCACTCTCGTATGTTCCTCAGACACGATTTTTTCCTTTGACCAGCTTTCCTTTTACCAGCAACTTTTCTCATCATTATCAGTTGCAGAAGCTCGTATCTGTCATGCCTAAGTCCATGACCCAGATATGCAACTTTTTTCTGTTTGATAGTCTGCAAAAGATTACGCTTCTTTCCAACTAGTCGCAGAACTTCATCATTGGTGACTTTGTGAGTCCATGATAAGTGCAACATTCTTCTGTGGGCCCACATTTCAAATCTTCAATACGTTTCCTCAGATGCTCTTTTGTTATCCAGGTCTCACATCCGTATAGAAGTATTGGCCAGATGTAACACAGAAGAAGTCGAGTGCGCAAAGGAATCTTAAGACACTGGCAGC